TTGTGTTTGTGCTGTTGGTGTGCATGTGCGTGTTGATGTCTTTGTGTTTGTGTTGTTGGTGTGTATGTGTGTGTTGATGTGTTTGTGTTGTTGGTGTGTATGTGTGTGTTGATGTGTTTGTGTTGTTGGTGTGTATGTGTGTGTTGATGTGTTTGTGTTGTTGGTGTGTATGTGTGTGTTGATGTCTTTGTGTTTGTGTTGTTGGTGTGTATGTGTGTATTGATGTCTTTATTTGTGTTCTGTGTTTGTGTGTATGTGTGTGTATTGATGTCTTTATTTGTGTTCTGTATTTATGTTTGTGTTGGGTGTGTATGTGTGTGTATTGATGTCTTGATTTGTGTTCTGTATTTATGTTTGTGTTGGGTGTGTATGTGTGTGTATTGATGTCTTTATTGTGTTCTGTATTTATGTTTGTGTTGGGTGTGTATGTGTGTGTATTGATGTCTTTATTTGTGTTCTGTATTTATGTTTGTGTTGGGTGTGTATGTGTGTGTATTGATGTCTTGATTTGTGTTCTGTATTTATGTTTGTGTTGGTGTGTATGTGTGTGTAATGATGTATTTAGCAGTTAGTGTGCTGTGTTACGAATCCGGCGCCCTGAGTTCGATTCCCGCTTACGACCAACAGCAGTCACGATCATCTTAACTGGTCCTGGGCATTTCCTAGGTCGGCTCAGACTCAAATGAATACCTGGTGTGCTGTGTAAACATCGCCACTAGAGTGTTGGCCACCCACCCCCTTGTGTGTCGTGCCGGCTTTCATAGGTGCTCGCTAACAGCACTTTCCCCAACAGTCCAACAAGGCTATATTGGGGATTTCTTTCTTTGTATTGATGTATTGTGGATAGTGAGCGGTAGTGTAACGGTTAGCGCAGTGCACTAATCACAACAAATATTGCAGTAATCAGCAATACCAATATCATAATCATTACGACCGTCATTATCACAATCATTGCAGTTACTGTCACAATCACTCCCATTAAAATCATCATCAATACCATCACTACCATCACAACCACGATCACCATGATGAACATCATTGTCATCATCATTCAGGTCATCAACACCACCACCATCATCATTAACACCATCACCACCACCAACATCTTCATCAGTGCCATTCAAATCATCGCCAACACCACCATCACCACCACCACCACTAAGCAGCAAGGAGGGACAATGCCTGAATGGCTTTTATTCCCCCAGGTGTGATCCCATTGAGATTCGTGACCTCTTTCACGAGCCTCACTTTGGCGCGAGCAGAGCCCATACAGATTCACTGCCTCCTTCACAGGCACCGCCGTGGGTGTGGAGCCCATAGAGATTCACGGCCATGGGGGTGGCAAGGATGCGGCGAGTTTATTGAGATTCATTATCTCGACACTTCTTTTGTGGTCACTGAGCCCGGGGGGGGCGGGAGGGGGTGGTGGGGGCCTTGGACCCAGGACGGGCGACTGACCACACCGCGTGGTAACGGCACCACGCGGCGTCGCTGTCGCTCCCTTCCTCCTGCCATATCGCCACAGCTTTGACAGGGTTAGTTGACCACGTGACCTTCGAGTGCCGCCCGTACCTCCCCCCCCCCCCCCCCCGTTGCAGACTCCGCACACAGGGTCATCGCCCTTCAAGGACGGCGGTCCTCATCGCATCCTCACACTGGACGGACGCCTTCCCCCCCAATCCCCTGACCGCTTCCATTTCCAACCCCTGACGACCTTCCCTCCTCCGCCCATTGGACCTCCGTTGGCCTGACGACGGCCGTAGCCGCTCTCGCCTGCCCGTCGCAGAGCTCCACACGGTTCGGCTTCGGCGGCCGCCCCGGGTCAACGATCGCTCGGCGGCAAGCCGCCTGCCGCTTCAGGGTGGACGCTGCGGGTGCCCGTGACGTCACCCGCGAGAGGGTAGCCCGCCGCACGTGCCGGGCCCGTTGGTGGCGGGGTCCAAAATCTTTCACCGCGTTCGAAAATGACACCCGCGGGTTACCCAACTGGGCAGACGCACGGCAATCATCGCCCCCCCCCCCCAACCCCACCCCTACAGGCTGACTCATGGCCCCAGGTTACTGGTTCCAATACGATTCTACCCCGGTCTCTCAACCTCTCAGAGCCTGGTGAAAACAAAACAAACGAAGTAACTGCCCGCGTCTTTTAAAAAAACGCTCTCCTGCCGCACACAATTCTCAGATTACAAAATAGCGGGTTTTTGTGGGGGTTAGATCGGGTAAATATATAAATGTGTCGTTAAAACCCGCCACCACCCAACACAGCCAACTAGCAAGGGTTGTCACGTTTTAACGACACATTTAGATATTTACGCGATCTAACCCAAACATAAACCTCTATTATGGATGATACTGGTCGCGAAAGCCTACGTGTTAAACATTCTCAGCTTCCGAGTTGTTAACCCCCCACGCCCGCGGCGCCATCCAGCCGTGGAGGGGGGGGGGGGGAGGATGGGCAAGGTTGCAATGATGGAGGAAGGAAGGAGGAAATGGGGAAGCAGTGATTTACATTGATCGGGAATAGTCGTCTCACCTGGGCCGAAGTGGGCTGTGGGGCTTCACGTAAAGGTGGAATCCCGCTCCTACAAAGCCGCAAAGTAATCTTCCGCGCAATTCGGTTGCACTGGCAGCCCTCCCCGTCTCCCGTTTACCACAGCCCCTGAGCCAGTGGTGGACATTCCAAATTTCCTGTGGCAGGAGTGAGTCACTCCGTAAGAAGACCACTGTTGACTTCCTCACAAACTGGTACTGGTTGTATCGACTCAACCCATCACCCCGACGGATGATGGGAGTTGAACTCGCGAACTTTCTGATGTGCGGGCCGCTCGCTCTGCCGCTGAGCCACCCTGCCGGTTTGACGACTCCACTCTGACTACACTTCCCAAAAAACTATTTCCTCTCCCATAATGCATCAGGCGACTTCCTTGGTGGCAGGCGTTTAATATTTCGACTTATTTACTTTTGTTATTCACGTGGGTTCGCGTATCCCCGTCATCCGTCTGTTGAGGTGTCGTTGGCTGCTCAGGGTCTGTTAAGGGGTAGAGCAACGACTGCTCGTGCGTCATTTCGCATCTCTTCTCGCGTCAAATTTCAAACCTTTAAAGGCCCCACAGTGGAAAACGTCATCGTTATCAACAAGTCGGCCAACCTCTCTGCCCTCTCCCTCTCTCTGCTCTGCAGAAGGGCCATTGCCCGAAACATCAGCCTGATGTTTCCAGCCGATGCCTTCTGAACACTTTCTGATTCCGCAGCTCCATCCCCACATTGTGGTGCCCTCTGCGCCTTTGGTAATCCATCTCCCCAGGAGACCGGCGGCACAAGGGGGGAAGACGTGAGTCCAGACAGATGGTGGGAGAACTGTCAGGGTATTGCGGTGGTGGTTGTGGTGGTGGTGGTTATGGTGGCGGTTGTGGTGGTTGTGGTGGTGGTTGTGGTGGTGGTTGTGGTTTTGCCCACTATAACATCTCCACCTTCATCCTGATTCCTGTTTCTCTGCTTGTACGGCAACATCGATGATAAACTAAAACTAAACTATTTACAATTTCACCAGGTAAGGCCCACTGAGCTACACAGCTGTTTTTTTAGAAGGGACCTGGCCACAAACGATAGCTCAACGAAGTGGCTTATCACGTGGACATTTATAGCAGCCAAATACTCTTAACAAGTATTATTATTATTATCCCATGTTGACCATTGTGAACCCCACTGCGAGAGGCACGGACATTCCCCCCCCCCCCCCACACTGCCCGCCTGATGGGTGGTGGGCGAGGCTCTGATGGGAAGGGGAGTTCCAAACGAGAATTTGTTGCAAAGAATGTTGCCCGCCGTCCTAGTCGCCCTCGAAAAAGAGCCTCTCGGCTCGATGGGCTTCGCTTGGGAAATGCACTCCTCATTCCGACGCCGATGCAAAGGGTACCGGCGTCCTGGAGCTGCGACACCAAGGAGATGTAGTAAGGAGATGGCCGGGCAGCTCCACCGAGCTCGCTCGAGAGAGAGAGAGAGAGAGATTTCCACTCTGTCCGTCGCTGCAGTGACTCGCCAGTGTGCGGGCGCGCTGAAATTCACCGCCACTGGGACCTGGATGTGAGTCCCAGTGAGATCCGTGACCACCCCCCCCACACCGCCCCCCCACCGCCCCCCGCTCACGTGACCTCAGCACGACCCCCATTGAGATTCATTGCCACCCGCGGTGACGGCAGAGCTGTGAGTCCGTTGAGATTCACATTTAGAAACATGCATTGAGATTATTTTGATTATTTTGCTACTATAAATGTCCCAATGATTGGCCAATTTGTTTGAGCTATAATTTGTGGCCAGGTTGCTTTTGAAAAATAAGTTAGTATCTCAGTGGGCTTTGCCTGGTAGGATGGGGATGTTAGCAAGGACCATGAAAGAACTACCATTCCACTTCAACCACAGTGGCTGCCATTGTCACCATCACCATAACCACCACCTCAGCCAACGCCACCATCACCATAGCCACCACCTCAATCAATGCCACCATCACCACCACCACAATCACAACCACCACCCACCACCTCAAGCAAACATGACCATCACCGCCCCCGCTATCACCACTATCACCGCCACCTCAACCAACGCCACCATCACCACCACCACTTAAACTAAGTTTTCTTGTGGTTGTTGTTGTTGTTGTTTGACTTGCATCCCACTGGGATTTTTTGCACACAGCGTTGGTGTACGGTGCTATTTCAGCAATATGTTGATGTTTTTTTTCCTGGATTTTCTGTTTGCACAGTCCCATAGTCACTTTAAGATTATTATTTTTCTTGTTTTTGTTTTTTGTTTGTTGCGGTTGCACCCAATTCAAGAGCCGAATAGCTCACAGGGCTATACCAAAATAAATAAACTGAAAAAACTGAAACCATCATCACCACTATCACCATCACCACCATCATCACCACTATCACCATCGCCACCATCATCACCACTATCACCATCGCCACCACCGCCTCCGCCATCCCCACCGCGTGGCGTACCTGCGGGCGTATATCCGCGGGCGCACGTCAGACGGAGATGGACACGAAGCTGTTGTATCTCTGGATGTTGCGCTTGAGGATGTCGGAGCAGGGCCCCAGGACGCGCTCGAACCGCGGCCGGTCCAGCTTGACGCACTTGAGCGGCCCGCGGGCCACCACAGTGGCGGCGCGCGGGCGGTCCAGCATGAGCGCAATCTCCCCTGGGGGGGGTGGGGTGGGGGGGGGTGGGGGGGGGTGGGGGGGGGCGGGGGGGGGGGGGGCACGGGCACGGTCAGCGCGCGAGTTCGTTTAGCCGGGTGAGAGGGAGAGGGGGAGTGATAGAGGGAGAGAGCCAGTGGATGAAATGCAATCGCAACGAGAGAGCACAGAAAAACACGGAAATATAAAATTGTAGGAGGAACAACAAAGTTGTAGGTGAGGGGACGAGTGAGAGGGAGAGTGAGGGGACAGGTGAGAGGGTGAGTGAGGGGACAGGTGAGAGGGAGAGTGAGGGGACAGGTGAGAGGAAGAGTGAGAGAACAGGTGAGAGGGAGAGTGAGAGAATAGGTGAGAGGGAGAGTGAGGGGACAGGTGAGAGGGTGAGTGAAAGAACAGGTGAGAGGGAGAGTGAGGGGACAGGTGAGAGGGTGAGTGAGGGGACAGGTGAGAGAGTGAGGGGACAGGTAAGAGGGAGAGTGAGGGAACAGGTGAGAGGGAGAGTGAGGGGACAGGTGAGAGGAAGAGTGAGAGAACAGGTGAGAGGGAGAGTGAGAGAACAGGTGAGAGGGAGAGTGAGGAGACAGGTGAGAGGGTGAGTGAGGGGACAGGTGAGAGGGTGAGTGAGGGGACAGGTGAGAGGGTGAGTGAGGGGACAGGAGAGAGGGAGAGTGAGGGGGCAGGTTAGGTGGCGGGTGAAAGGGTGGGTGAGGGGAGAGCTGGCACATTTACACGTGAGTACGTGTTTGTATGTGTGTGTGTGAACATGTGGGTCCGTGCAGAAGTGCGTGTGTGGGTACTTGTGAGTGTGTGTAGGTGTATGTGTGCGATAGTGTAGCGGTTAGCGCGCTGCGCTATGAACCTGGCGACCCGGGTTCGATTCTCGCTCACGGGCAACACCAGTGACGATTATCTGAACCGGTCCTGGGACTCCCCTAGGGCGTCTCAGTCTCAAATGAGTACCTGGTGCGGTGTGTAAACATTGCCACTAGGGAGACAAAGGCGGTCGAGGCGTGGTGCTGGCCACCCACCCCCTCGTGTACCGTTCCGGCCTTCATAGGTGCTCGCTAACAGCACTTGTCCCTACAGTCTGTTAAGGCTACACGGGGGATCTTTGTTTGATCTTTGTGTGCACCTGTGTGCCCGTACATGTGAGCATGTGTATGTGCGTGTGCACGTGTGTGTGTGTGTGTGCACGTGCGTGTGTGTGTGTGTGCACGTGTGTGTGTGTGCACGCGTGTGTGTAAGTGTGTGTATATGTGTGCACGTGTGTGTGAGTGTGTGCACGCGTGTGTGTGTGTATATGTGTGTGCACGTGTGTGTGAGTGTGTGCACGCGTGTGTGTGTGTGTGTGCACGTGTGCGTTTACCGAAGTAGTCGGAGGGACCCAAGCGCCCGACTTCCACGAACTCCTCCCTCTCAGAGCGACGCTGAAGGACGGCGGCTGTGCCCTGAGCACACAACAACAACATCAGCAACATCATCATCACCATCATCGTCACCCCATATCATCATCATCAAATCTTCACCACGATCACAGCATCACATCACTATCATCACATTATCACGATTAGCCACGAAGTGGTGGTGACGTCACCACGATGCTTGTGCCAGGCTAGGTACACCTTGAGGCCACGTGAAGTGAGGAACGCTTGCTGGCAGGTCACGGGATAGACCCAGGTGTTATGGGTTCACTTACTGAGATGACTTACAGATGCATCACCTGTGCTCCCCACTGTGACACATACTCAAACAAAGACAAATAACCCCTGTATCGCCTTAAACGGACTGTTTGGGCAAGTGCTGTTTGCAAGTAGCACCTATGAAGGCCGGCACGGCACACGTACGAAGGAGGGGGTGGGTGTCCAACAGTACGCACGCACACAGAAACACACAGACACTTACACGCACACAGACACTCACACACAGACACACAGACACTTACACTTACACGCACACAGACACACAGACACTTACACTTACACGCACACAGACACACAGACACTTACACGCACACAGACACACACACAGACACTTACACGCACACAGACACACACAGACACTTACACGCACACAGACACTTACACGCACACAGACACACAGGCACTTACACGCACTTCCTGCCGCCCTGCTCCATTGCTCAAACACAATCCCGGCGCAAATTAACCAGATGAAAGCCTACCAATTGAAATTCCAATTAATACCCCTACCCCCCCATCAACCATCAAACAGCGCCCCCCCCTCCTCGACCCTCCCCACTCCGACTCGCGCCCAACTTTTATTGGCAGCGGTTGGGCGTTGAGAGGAGGTCCGGTGTAGGAGGCGGTAGGAATTAAAATAGCGCCGTGGTTTGAGTGACCGGAATAGCAGCGCCATCAACTCACCTCCAACCACCACCCACCACCATCATCAGCATCACCATCACAATGGGGGGGCCTTTGATGTGGCGAGATGAAGGGTGGATGGGTGTGGGTGGGGCGGGCGATTGCAGTGGGGTTGGGGACATTGCGTGCGCGCGAGTTTCTGTTTTTTTTGTTGAGCACGTGGGCCCTTTCCCGTGTCGGGTCTAGAGCGTGCATGGCAACCCCGTTTCGACCACGCACTGCGAGACGGGAGCTCGATTCCTGATCACGGTCACCGACAACACCGGTGACGATTAATCCGCACCGGTCCTGGGCCTCCCCAAGGTCGACTCAGCCTCAAATTAGTACCCGGTGTAGTAAACATCGCCACTAGGGAGACAGAGGCGGCCGGGCGTGGTTGCTGGCCACCCACCCCTCGTGTGCCGTGCCGGCCTTCATAGGTGCTTTTCGCCAACAGCACTTGTCCCAAAAATTCTGTTGAGGCTACACGGGGGACCTTTGCCTTATGAGACCCAGCAATATTCTTGTTGCATAAACTGCAAACACAACGGCCGGTGACGACTGCAGCACGCACCATGCCAAAAGCCGTCCATAAATTATGAAACACCGAGATATATTTTTTCTTCCGAGTATCGCATGAAAACATTTTTAAGCGTTGGGGGGGGGGGGGGGGAGAACACTTTTAAATTAATCGCTGTCAGAAATATAAGAGACGAAGCGGTGTGGAAGGCAGCACTCCAACGTACCTCGACGGTACGGCCGTCCAAGTGCCGAATGCAGACTTCGCGGATTTTCAACGCGGCGCACTAAAGAGCTCACCGACTTCCCCCCCCACCCCCACCCCCCCTCCTGCCATTGCCGTCTTTGACAACCCACCGCCCATCCCTCTGGCCCAACCGCCCCATCGCCACCCCGTCGCCCATCGCACCCATCGCACCCTCGCACCATCGCACCCATCGCCCATCCCCCATCGCACCCATCGCACCCATCGCACCCATCGCCCCCATCGCACCCATCGCCACCATCGCACCCATCGCCCCATCGCACCATCGCACCCATCGCACCCATCGCCCCACGCACCATCGCACCCATCGCACCCATCGCCACCCATCGCCCACCACCATCGCACCCATCGCACCCATCGCACCCATCGCACCATCGCACCCATCGCACCCATTCGCCACCCATCGCCAACCCATCGCACCCATCGCACCCATCGCACATCGCATCCCATCGTCCACCCGCTCGTCGTCAACCGCTCGCTGTCTCGCGTCCATCGTCGCTGACTTCAGCGCAACCGTCGCAACCACCGCGCGCCCGCCATCCCTCTCATCGCCTCATCTCACCTCACCACACCGTCTACGCACCTTCAAATTGAAACTCGTTTCTTTAGAACTGCTTTCACGACGTCCCCCCACACACCACCCCCCCCCCCCGGGTTTGCATCGCTGGTGGCAACACACTGGGCGAAAGTAGTTCAACGTACATACGTACTGTATGTGCAATGTCAAATTGATAATTCTCTGCTCAGCGCCTTGCTCAGGGCGCCATATAAATCAAATGAAGATACGGTGCCAATGCGAATGCATTACTTCGGGGGAGGTGAGTGGTGGTGCTGTCGTCGGGCGCGCAGAACCCGGAGGAGACCTGGCGTTGAGATTCACGGCCGAGTTGGGGTGGAGGGGATGGCCACCAACACTGGCAGTGAGAGTGGGGCCGGTGTCGTGTTGGCCAAAGCGGCGCAAGTGGTAGCACGCGCCTGAGTTCGATTCCTGATGCGGGAACCTCTCTCTGTGGAGTTTGTGTGTGTGTGTGTGTGTCCCCACCATTTTTCTGCACGAGTTTGCTCCAGGTTCTCCGGTTTTACTCCCATAACGAAACAAAAAAAAAACATACAAACGTAGGTACAATGTAACCAGCAGTGGGCCAAGTAATATCCCAATGACGAAAAATGTACCCTTCAAATGAATCTGCTTTGGGTTACACACGCGTGGCAACGTCGAAACCTTGGCAGGCCCCTCCGTGAAAAAAGAGCCTTGACACTCGGTGAGACTGTCCCAGAGAGAGAATCGTTAATGATAAAATAATAATAATAATTGCGAATGTAATGAACCAGAGAGCCGTACAGCGCAACCGCGAGAAAACCAACGCAGAAGTCTCACCATCATCATCTAAGTTCATGACAGTGACGATGATGACGATTGCGAGGACGGTGATAATTATGGCGGCGCTAAACTGCACGATCGTGATGACGTCGATCATAACAACGTCGACGACGATGGCCACGACGATGGAACTTTATCTTATAGTTTTGACAAGAGCGGATACAGTGCTCAAACTTGAAAACATAATAAAAAATATAGTACAGAAACTGAAGGGTGAAAACACATCACACGCACATTACACACACACACACGTCCTTGAGTGCAGAGTCGTGTTTGTATCAACACAACGCTTCACGGTTGCCTCACAGCGGAATCAACGCTGAGCTCTGTTTTGACCTCAGATCCAAAATATACAGCGGCTGTGGCCTGAGTGTTGTGTGTGTGTATGTATGTGTCTTTGTGCGTGTGCCATTGTCTTTGTAGTGGGAGCGCAGTGGTCAGCGCACTGCGCGACGAACCCGCCAACTCGACTTTGGTTCCTGCCCACGGTCAACATCGGTGAACCCGTCGTGGGCCTCCCCTAGGTTGACTCAGCCTCAAATAAGTGCCTGGTGCGGCATGCAAACATCAGCACCCGGGCAGTCAATGGTGGCCGGCCGTGGTGCTGGCCACCCACCCCCTCGTGTGCCTTGCTGGCCTTCATAGGTGCTACTCGCTAACAGCACTTGCCCCTACAGGCTATATGGGTGATCTTTGTCTTTTTTTCTTCTTTGGTTCTTTCGGTAAAGTCACGTAGAATGAGAATAACATAATAAAATAACACAATAAAATTCTCACGACGTTTCGGCCACAACGCAAGCGGCCGTCATCAGGTGAAAGGTACAGACCTGTCGGGACGACAGAGCTTCAAACGAAACAAAAAAAAACGTACCTTTCACCTGAAGACGGCCGCTTGCGTTGTGGCTGAAACGTCGTGAGAATTTTATTGTGTTATTTTATTATGTTATTCTCATTCTACGTGACTTTACCGAAAGAACCAAAGAAGATGAATCCTTCGTCTTTTGTTTCTGATTATGTCTGTGCGTGGATGTGTGTGTCAATGTGGATATGTGTGTGTGTGTATGTATGTTTTATTGTGTGAGCATCTGTGTGCTTGTCGGTGTGTGTAAGTGTGCGTCTGTGTTAAGGTCCACACAGCATCACTCCCGGCCCACTTTGTCTCCCCAGTGCTGATAGTTACATAATGCACCAGGTACTCATAGAAGGCTGAGTCGACCTAGTGCAGGCCCAGGATTGGCTCAGGCATCGCTGGGTTCATGGCGCAGTATGCCTCACTCCACATACATGCAAAGACAAAGATCCCCCATATAGCCTTCACAAATTATTGGGGCAAATGCTGTTAGTGAGCACCTATAAAAGGAACAGCATGCATGGAGCTGGGTGGCCAGCACCACTTCCCGGCCGCCTTTGTCTCCCTAGTCGCGATGTTTACACACTGCACTAGGTACTCATTTAACACTGAGTCGACCTAGAGGAGGCCCAGGACAGGTTCAGATAATCGTGACTGGTGTTCGCCGTGAACGGGAATCGAACTCGGGTCACCGAGTTCGTAGCGCGGCGCGCTAATTGCTACACTACCGCTCCCCTGACACTCCGGTACACACCGACACACACTCAGGTACACACACGCACACACAGGTACAGTGAGGGAAAAAAGTATTTGATCCCCTGCTGATTTTGTATGTTTGCCCACTGACGAAGAAATGATCAGTCTATAATTTTAATGGTAGGTTTATTTGAACAGTGAGAGACAGAGTAACAACAAGAAAATCCAGAAAACGCATGTCAAAAATGTTATAAATTGATTTGCATTTTAATGAGGGAAATAAGTATTTGACCCCCTCTCAATCAGAAAGATTTCTGGCTCCCAGGTGTCTTTTATACAGGTAACGACCCGAGATTAGGAGCACACTCTTAAAGGGAGTGCTCCTAATCTCAGCTTGTTACCTGTATAAAAGACACCTGTCCACAGAAACAATCAATCAATCAGATTCCAAACTCTCCACCATGGCCAAGACCAAAGAGCTCTCCAAGGATGTCAGGGACAAGATTGTAGATCTACACATGGCTGAAATGGGCTACAAGACCATTGCCAAGCAGCTTGGTGAGAAGGTGACAACAGTTGGTGCGATTATTCACAAATGGAAGAAACACAAAATAACTGTCAATCTCCCTCGGCCTGGTGCTCCATGCAAGATCTCACCTCGTGGAGTTGCATTGATCATGAGAACGGTGAGGAATCAGCCCAGAACTACACGGGAGGATCTTGTCAATGATCTCAAGGCAGCTGAGACCATAGTCACCAAGAAAACAATTGGTAACGCTACGCCGTGAAGGACTGAAATCCTGCAGCGCCCGCAAGATCCCCCTGCTCAAGAAAGCACACATACATGCCCGTCTGAAGTTTGCCAATGAACATTGAATGATTCAGAGGACAACTGGGTGAAAGTGTTGTGGTCAGATGAGATCAAAATGGAGCTCTTTGGCATCAACTCAACTCGCCGTGTTTGGAGGAGGAGGATGAATGCTGCCTATGACCCCAAGAACACCATCCCCACCGTCAAACATGGAGGTGGAAACATTATGCTTTGGGGGTGTTTTTCTGCTAAGGATACAGGACTACTTCACCGCATCAAAGGGACGATGGACAGGGCCATGTACCGTCAAATCTTGGCTGAGAACCTCCTTCTCTCAGCCAGGGCATTGAAAATGGGTCGTGGATGGGTATTCCAGCATGACAATGACCCAAAACACACGGCCAAGGCAACAAAGAAGTGGCTCAAGAAGAAGCGCATTAAGGTTCTGGAGTGGCCTAGCCAATCTCCAGACCTTAATCCCATAGAAAATCTGTGGAGGGAGCTGAAGGTTCGAGTTGCCAAACGTCAGCCTTGAAACCTTAATGACTTGGAGAAGATCTGCAAAGAGGAGTGGGACAAAATCCCTCTTGAGATGTGTGCAAACCTGGTGGCCAACTACAAGAAACGTCTGACCTCTGTGATTGCCAACAAGGGTATTGCCACCAAGTACTAAGTCATGTTTTGCAGAGGGGTCAAATACTTATTTCCCTCATTAAAATGCAAATCAATTCATAACATTTTTGACATGCGTTTTTCTGGCTTTTTGTTGTTGTTATTCTGTCTCTCACTGTTCAAATAAACCTACCATTAAAATTATAGACTGATCATTTATTTGTCAGTGGGCAAACGTATAAAATCAGCAGGGGATCAAATACTTTTTTCCCTCACTGTACATACACACACACAGGTACATACACACAGGTACACACCGACACACGCACACACAGGTACATACATACACAGGTACACACCGACACACACCAATTCACAGGTACACACATGCACACACAGGTGCATACAAGCACATGCAGGTACATACACACAGGTACACACCGACACACACTGATGCACAGGTACACAAACGCACACACAGGTACATACACACAGGTACACACCGACACACACTGATTCACAGGTACACACATGTCACACACAGGTGCATACAAGCACACGCAGGTACATACACACAGGTTACACACCGACACACACTGATGCACAGGTACACAAACGCACAACACAGGTACATACACACAGGTACACACCGACATACTGATTCACAGTACACACATAGCACACACACGTACATACACGCACACACAGGTACATACACACACAAGATACACACCGACACACACTGATTCACAGGTACACACACGCACACACAGGTACACACACGCACACACAGGTACATACACACACATGTACACACCGACACACACTGGATTCACAGGTACACAAAGGTACACACCGACACACACTGATTCACAGGTACACACACGCACACACAGGTACACACACGCACACACAGGTACATACACACACAGATAAACACCCGACACACACTGACTCACAGGTACACACGCACACCAGGTACATACACACACAGATACACAACCGACACAACACTGATTCACAGGGTACACACACGCACACACAGGTACACACACGCACACACAGGTACATACACACACAGGTACACACCGACACACACTGATTCACAGGTACACACAGGTACATACACACACAGGTACATACACACAGGTACATACACACACACTGACTCACAGGTACACACACTGAGTCACAGGTACACACACACACACACAGGTACATACACACACACACAGGTACACACACGCACACACAGGTACCACACACAGGTACTATACACACAGGCTACACACCACACGCACACACATTTTTTTGGGTTTTTGTTTATGTTGTTTGTTTTTTTACACACGAACCGCACACACAGGTACTATACACACATAGATACACACACGACACACACTGACTCACATGGTTACCAAACACGCACACACAGGTACACACACGCAAACACAGGTACACACCACACCAGGTACATACACACACAGGTACATACACACACACAGTTACATACACACACAGGTACATACACACACAGGTACACACACAGGTACATACACACACAGGTACATACACACACACAGGTACACACACACACACACAGGTACAGCCACACACACACACAGGTACACACACACACAGGTACACACACACACACAGGTACATACACACACAGGTACACACACCACACACAGGTACATACAGCACACAGGTACATACACAAGCACACCAATAAGCACACAATCCGCAGCAAGTGTCCTTCTGCAAAGCCACCTTTGTTCCCCACAAGGAGGAGGAGCATGGAGTCCCATGTCTCCCCCCGTGCTCCTCCATGCCCATTCTCCCCCCCCCAACACCCCCCACCCCGACATCCCCATCCTGCCCCCGCCCCTCCCTCATCCTCCTCCATCGTAGAGAATTTACAGTCGTGGGCAGCGAAGAAGGGAACTCTTTCTTCTTCCACGTCCCTCCTCCACCTCCCCCCTGAACCCAATCCACCCCGCCCCCACCTACCCCCCCCCCCTTACCCACAACCACCCCCACCCACTACCACCCTCACCCCACCTCGCTGGGGCCAAGGATCCCCACGCATCCGATTCGAAACAAACTCCCAATCGGTAACCCACTGGGGGCTCATCATGGCCGGTTCGGAGGCACGCCGCTCGAGATGACAACCTGCGCTCAAACTCTGGGGTCCGGGCAGAGCCGCCGCTAAGCTATGGCGAATTGGGTGGGTGGGGGGGGGGGGCGACTGCCCCGGGCCCCGCGCTTTGAGGGGCATCCCGCGCTTCAACGTCGCGGTGTCAGATTTAATACCACCAGTTTAGTTTGAAGGCGTCGGCGGCGAGGGGGGGGGGATCCACATGGTGTGAGATGTTATCACACCTGGTATGCAGGAAGTCATGGTTTCCATCCTGACCCTGACACCTGCTGTATATTTGGAGTTTGCGTGGCTCTCTCTCTCTCCCCGTGGTTGCGTGGATTTCTATCCGGGTCCTTCAGCTTTTCCCTCCACATTTATAATCAACATCGACGCGTTCAAGAGGATTTGGCTGCTGTAAATTTCCAGATGGTAAGCCACTTTGTTGAACTATCATCGCATGTGGCCAGGTCACTTCTTAAAAAAAACAGCTCTTTAGCTCAGTGGGCCTTACCTGGTGAAATAAAAAATAGTTTAATTTTGTTTAGATTTGCCCCGAGCCCCAGAACTAGGATGGGCCCTTGGTCTGGGTCTTTCCCTCTCTCTCTCTCTCTCTCCCTGCCTCTCTCCTTGCCTCTCTCTCAGTCCCCAAGGGGAAATAATCGGCACCTCGGTGATGAGGAAGAAGTCGTCGCCGGGGTCTCCCTGGACCACGATCTTCTCCGCGTCCTCGAACTGCACCGGCTCCAGCGCATCGGCCACCGTCAGCCGCTCCCAGTGCTCCAGCGATTCTGCAGCAACACAGAGACAAAGGTCCCCCGTGTAGCCTTACGCACGAGACTGTTGAAAAGCAGTGGGGGGAGAAGGGGGGGGGGCAAAGTTATGCGTGCGAACAGCGACGGGGAAAGGTGGTGCGGGCTGGAAGAACGCCTGGTCGCCTTTGTTGTCTTGTTGTTGTTGTTGTTTGACTTGCATCCCACTGGGATTTTTTTGCACACAGCGCTGGTGTACGGTGTTATTTCAGGAATATTTTGATGGGTTTTTTCCTGGATTTTCTGTTTGCACAGTCACACATAGTCACTTTAAGATGTTTTCTTGTTCGTGTTTTTTGTTTGTTGCGGTTGCACCCGATTCAACAAGAGACGAATGGCTCACAGGGCTCGATACCAAAATAAATGGAACTAAATGGAACTTGTTTCCCCAGTGTTGACGTGTTTTTTTTCCTTAGCTCCACCGGTTTAGATTTTTGCCAACGATGTTGGCTGATATTTGTTTTCCCATGCTCCACCAGGTACTATACTCGCTTAAAGCCGAGTTGACCTATGATACGACCTGCCACCGATGTACGCCATGGCCTGGAAACGAACTTAGGTCACCACCGGCTTCGGAGCACAGTGCAAGAAACACGACTAGCACAGCCTTCTAATGCACCCGGGCGCGCGCACGCACACACACACACAGGTCGACACGGCCATTGTGAATCCCCCGAGACTTCAGGCTCAATGAAAGAAGAAGTCCTTATATTCAACTAAACTATAAACATTTTTTTGTTATTTTACTAAGTAAGACCCACTGAGCTATATAGCTTTTTTTCAGAAACGCAAATGATAGCTCAACGAAGTGGTTTTTCATCACGTGGAAATAAACAGCAGTCGAAAAAACTCTAAACACGTGTTTATTCTAAACGTTGGGGGAAAACCCGGAGGACCCACAAACCAGTGGGTTTCAGTGACTCCGACATGGCCACCTCCGATCAGCACGGTTGGCTACGTACGGTGCGAAAGAAATCCAACGTACATGCGTACATTATGAGCCCCCTGTACTGTTGAGAAACACAGCTCTCAAGGGCTTGAACCCAGGATCTCGGCGGTGCCGACTCAGTAACTCCGACTCGGCCATTATGAACCCCCCCACCACACCCCCCCCCCCCTCCTTAGCCACTTCGGATGCACCTAAATCCTGGGTGTGGTGGTGGTGGTGGTGGAGGCGGCGGCGGCGGCGGCAGGGTTAGGGAGGTGACGGGCGAAACGGCAGAAAGAAAAAAAACCAAGAGAGAGGAGGAGAAGAAAAAAAAACGGAAATGGATTTGGCCGAGGCCACGAACCCGGATTGCGGTCGCACGCCGATCGGGTGGCCGGGACGCCCACGCGAAATCCCCGCGCACTTTGGCGGCGCGAGGCGAGCCGGCCGCTTCGGGCACCGCGCCTCAAATCCCCCAAAACCCTCGCCGCCATAAACCACCACCACCCCCCCCGCCCCCCCCCCCCCACACACACACCTCATGTCTCTCCCGTGCGTCTCTCCACCGACGTCTCCCCTATGCATCTCTCTCTCTCTCCCGTGCGTTTGTCCCGACGCGTCTCTCTCCCTGTGTTGATCCCGCGAGTCTCGATCCTCCGTGTGTGTTCCTCCGTGCATTTTTCTCTCCCATGTATCTCCCCGTGCATCTCTCCCCGTGCATCTCTCCCCTTGCATCTCTCCCCGTGCATCTCTCCCCGTGCATCTCTCCCCGTGCATCTCTCCCCGTGCATGTCTCCCCGTGCACCTCTCCCCGTGCATCTCTCCCCGTGCATTTCTCCCCGTGCACCTCTTCCTAGGGCTGGGTTATTTAGTTCATAATGGCTGTGTTTGAGAGATAGAGATCCTGGGTTCAAGCCCGAGGACTGGGTTTGGTTTTTCTCTCTCTCTCTCTCAGTGGGTGCATAACGGCATATAGCCTTCGTCCAGGGGCCGGCAACTGGACTCCCACGGTAAACTGGACTCCCATGGTAAACTGGACTCCCACGGTAAACTGGACTCCCAAGGTAAACTGGACTCCCACGGTAAACTGGACTCCCATGATAAACTGCACTCCCACAGTAAACTGGACTCCCATGTGAAACTGCACTCCTACAGTAAACTGCACTCCAATGGTAAACTGCACTCCCATGGTAAACTGCACTCCCATGGTAAACTGGACTCCCATGTGAAACTGCACTCCCATGGTAAACTGCATTCCCACGGTAAACTGCACTCCTACGGTAAACTGCACTCCCATGGTAAACTGCACTCCCACGGTAAACTGGACTCCCATGGTAAACTGGCCTCCCATGGTAAACTGGACTCCCATAGTAAACTGGACTCCCATGTGAAACTGGCCTCCCATGTGAAACTGCACTCCCACAGTAAACTATACTCCAATGGTAAACTGGACTCCCATGGTAAACTCCACTCCCACGGTAAACTGCACTCCCACGGTAAACTCCACTCCCACGGTAAACTGCACTCCCATGTTAAACTCCACTCCCATGTTAAACTCCACTCCCATGGTAAACTCCACTCCCACGGTAAACTGGACCCCCATGGATCTAGTCAATGTACCCGCGAGAGACTAAGCTTTGGCCGCATCTCTTTTATCTCTCTCTCTCCCTCTCCGTCTCTCTCAGGGTGTCCATAACGGCAGCCGTGTCAGCGCCACCGATCCATCAGTGGCTCTGAGAACCCTCGGCTCGAGCCCTGGCTGGAGACGGGCGTGCGCTCTCTCTCTCTTTCTCTCTCTCTTCTCTCTCTGTCCATCTCAGGAGACTCATAATGGTCGTGTCAAGCAAGAGTCACCGGGCCAGTGAAGCAAAGTTGCGAGAGGAGAGTGAGAACCGCCCTCCCCCCCCCCCCTCCCGGGTTCCGAGTGTCGTGCCGCCGAGTAACTGGAGCCCGACGTGAGCGCCGCGGCGGCGGTGGCGGTGGCGGTGGTGGCGGAGGCGGTGGTGGTGGTGGTGGGCGGGAGTACAGGTTTATGCGGCGACCAGCCGACCGTGCCGAGTCTGCGGCTCTTGTTTTGGCAAAGGCGGCTGTGCGTGGAGGCAGAGCAGCACCTATCAGATGGTGGACGAGGATGCGGGCGGGCGATCGGGTGAGCGAGCGGCCCCGTCTCTGCCGAACACCCAATATGTGTGGGGGGTTGGGGTACCAAAGTCTGGAGGGGGGGAATGTTGCTGGCGTGAGGGGGGGGGGGGCATCAGTCACCGTCTGTCCACGTTGCGATAACCTCGTAGAAATACGCGGAAGCTGCGTCGACTGTTCCAATGGCTGGATTTCTATTATATTCTTGGTTCTTTCGGTAAAGTCACGTAGAAGGGAAACAATAGAATAATAAAAATATAAAACAATAAAATTCTCACGACGTTTCGACTGCAACACAAGCAATCTGTTCACTTCATTTAACGTGGCCCAGTTTCGTCTACATTAGAGGTCGTCAGTACCGTGTAGCTCCGATGCTCTGCAATGGTGGGCGACATGATCCTCATTAAGACTTCCTCATCAGTGCGGTGGCTCTACTCGCCTATTATCACGAATGTTGGTGCTGGATTAATTTGTATTACTAATCATCAGCATGGTATGGGCTCTGTTAACCGTGTTGGTTGGTCAGAATCAGAATACGTATTTACACTGGAGGAATCCGATGAGTCTACGAAGCTCTATTTCACGGCTCTGCAGACCGTGGGCCGCGGCCACGGGACGTCACAGCGACAGAGCCATCAGGCGGTCGTTGTGCAGAATCGTATCGTAATACGATAGCAGTAAGAAGAAAAAGCTTTGCTGGCTGGCTGGCTGGCTTCCTGCCTGGTGCGCCGGCGAGCGGGCAAGTGCGCGGTAGTGACGTCGCCGCGCAAGTGTGCACGGCGACGTCCCCCACATCTCACCCGTGTGTCCCGCGGAAAGGCGCGGGCGATGCTGGAAGCATACATTAAGAGGCAATTCGCACTTACCTTCCCGTAACTCTCCCTCCGCGCGAGAAATTAAAGACGTGGATGACGTGCAAAGAAACAATCGAGCAATTAATTGTGTCCAGAGAGAGACGTGGGCCGAGGGAGGCGTGGGAGGCGTGGAAGCTTGCGTGTTTGTTTTGTTATCCCAAGGCGGCCAGAGAGAGGCCATGGTGATGCAGGCGAACCCAAAAAGCGCGCTACAAAATTCTCTCGAATTTCTCCGGGCACGGAAAAAAACGTGGTGATGGAAGAATTGCCAGTGTGTCCATGCATGCGTGTATACGGTGTTGGCCACCCACCCCCTCGTGTGCCGTGCCGGCCTTCATAGGTGCTCGCTAACAGCACTTGCCCCAACAGTTTGTTTCAGGCTATACGGGGGATCTTTGTCTTTTTTTCAAGTACGTGCCAGTCTTCTCAGTCAGTCAACCCATGGCACCTGGGTCTGTCCCGCGGCCTCCTGCGAGCACCCTTTCGACACTTCGCAGTGGCCTCAAAGTGCACATAGACTGGCACAAGCACAGTGGTGATGTCACCTGCCACCTAGTGGCGATGGCCGTTGTTGTTGTTGTGTATGTGCCTCAAAATGAGTACCTGGTGTGACGTGCAAACATCGCCACTGGAGAGACAAAGGCGGTCGGGCGTGGTGCTGGCCACCCAGCCCCTCGTGTGTCATTCCGGCCCTTCACAGGTCTTTGCGAACAGCACTTTCCCTAACACTCTATTTTGGCGATATGGGGGATCGTTGTCTTTGACTAGGGAGGGAGTTGGATGGAGGTGGTGGAGGTGGTGGTGGTGGGGATGAGATGACCATGCTGGTCCCATTCGTTCGTTAGGAGTCACTGAAGCCTCGGCTGGAATGACGGCTCCCAATTGAGCGCCGGTTAGGCGCGTGGGGCTTGCAGGCGGGCAGCTCAGCATCGCCTTACGAGCACGCACAACGACAAAGATCCCCCTTATAGCCTCTAACAGACTTTTGGGGCAAGTGCTGCTGGCGAGTAGCATCTATGAAAGCCGGCACGGCACACGAGGGGGTGGGTGGCCAGCACCACGCCCGAGCGCCTTTGTCGCCCTGGTGGCGATGTTTACACACCGCACCAGGTACTAATGTGAGGCTGAGTCGACCAAGGGGAGGCCCAGAAGCGGGAATCGAACTCGGGTCGCCGGGTTTGCAGCGCGGCACCTGAACCACTACACTACCGCTCCCCACACTCAGACGTGCATGCACAAATGCACATGCAAGCAGATGCGCATGTACACAAAGACAAAGATCCCCGTATAGCCTTAACAGATTGTTGGGGCAAGTGCTGCTAGCGAGCACCCACGTGTGCCGTGCCAGCCTTCATAGGTGCTTGCGGACACGGATGCACACACGCGGACACGGACTTACAGACGCGGACTTACAGACGCGGACTTACAGACGCGGACTTACAGACGCGGACTTACAGACGCGGACTTACAGACGCGGACTTACAGACGCGGATACACACACGCGGACACACACGCGGATACACACACACACACGCGGACACACACACACACACACGCGGACACCCCGTGCAAGGTTTATACCCGAGTCAGTCAAGTCGCGAGAGAGAGGCAGCTGAAGTTCCGCATGGCACAATTTGTTCTTTTCTGCGCGCTGGAATTCACGGGGCCTGTTTCCTGCACCTCCGCGTTACCCTTCCAGGGGCCCCCCCCCCCCCCGCCTTGCCTCGGAGCCTCACTGGGCTCCTCCTGCCATGTGGTCTGAGGAGACACGGCGAGCACCATCGCCGCCGTGGGTACTCACGGCGGCGACAGCTCGAACGCCGCTACCGTTCAGTGCTAAACAATGGATGCAAAACAAGACTTGTTGTAAAGCAGGCTCGCCAACACGATTCGTAAACAAGAGTTACGGCCGTGGTGAGGGTTGGTTGATTCCAGATGCGAATCCGGTTTCTGTTCCTCTCTCTCTCTCTCCCAGTCTCTCCATCTCCCTGTCTCTCCATCTCCCCGTCTCTCCATCTCCCTGTCTCTCCATCTCCCTGTCTCTCCATCTCCCCGTCTCTCCATCTCCCCGTCTCTCCATTGCCCTGTCTCTCCATTGCCCTGTCTCTCTCTCTCCCTGTCTCTCCATCTCCCTGTCTCTCTCTCTCCCTGTCTCTCCATCTCCCCGTCTCTCCATTGCCCTGTCTCTCCCTCTCCCTGTCTCTCCATCTCCCTGTCTCTCCATCTCCCTGTCTATCCATCTCCCTGTCTCTCCATCTCCCTGTCTCTCCATCGCCCTGTCTATCCATCTCCCTGTCTCTCCATCTCTTCCCGTCTCTCTCTCTCTCCATCTTCATGATGCTTCACAAATTTCGAAGAAGAAGAAGAAATGCACCTCTGTAATATTCAGCGTTCCACTTTGTACAGCTACATTATGAATTTGTGTTGTTTCTTGTAAGCAATTAAATTGATATTCAACGGCAAATATTTCTCCCATCTCCCTCTGTTTTTCTCTCCCCTCCACCCGCCCCGTGTCGCTCTCTGCAGGAACCTGTTTGAAGTGGAACAGGTAATTCACGTTAGACGGGAGGAGTTCACGAGAGTAGAGAGCCTGCAAAACTCCGAACACACACACACACGTGGGGGATTGCTCATGCGCACACATACGTACACACATACTACGTATGTGGACATTTCACTCGCACACGCGTGCACGCGCATATGTGTGTTCACGCGTGTATGTATGTATGCAGGTATGTGTGCGCGCGCGCGCGTGCATACATGCACGCGCGCGCGCACACACACGAACACATGCACACATGTACGCAGACTCACACAAAGGCACACAAGCACATGTGAATATACAGACGTACACACAGGAGCACATGCACGCAGAGGACACGTACGCATGTTGCATTTTTTTTCGCACCGTACGTAACCAACCATGCTAATCGGAGATGTACGAGAAATAAAGAGCACTGTGCAGCCTACAGAGTGTTGTTGGGGAAAGTGCTGTCAGCGAGTAGCACCTATGAAGGCCCGCAAGGCACACGAGGGGGTGGGTGGGCCAGCACCACGCCTGGCCGCCTTTGTCTCCCCAGTGGCGATGTTTTTTTATTTTTTACACATCGCACTGGGTTAGGGGGTCACCAACCAAACTAACAGTGAAGAGCCACTTCTTTTGCTCATTCTATACCAAAAAAAAAAACCTCAACATTTCAAGAGCCGCAATGCATGTGAATGCGTCCAAACATTACACTGCGTCACGAAGCAGTCCGTGAAGAACCGCACGCGGCTCTGGCGGTGACTGATCCGTTGCACTCGCTACTCACTTGAGGCTGAGTTAACACGCACACTCACCTAAGATGGAGACTTTGCTCAGGAACTCCGCGTACATCTTCCTCTTGCGAAGCGTGCTCCCCTGTCATGGAGAGAGAGAGAGAGAAAGAGATAACGCAGCCGGTGTTAGCGTGGAAGTGGGAGCGTGGCTCACGGCAGAGGCTCACGGCAATGGCCGGGTTCGGAGCCACCCGAGGGCATACGGCTCCCCACCGGCACTCCCCCCTTAAGGCTCTCCTGAAACTCACTCGGCTCGGCATTGAGAATTAACGGCGGGTGCAACGTTCCTTGTTCGATGGCGCACTGCACCGCCTGCGCTCCCATCATTCACAAACCCCACGATGGTCAGTGCGGCGCGGTGAAGTATGGTCAAACAACGGCGTGGGCAAGGCCCTCATCCAGCAGCGGATGGACAAAATTGTCCGTGGCCGTTCTGCCGTACTCGCAAAATACGACGGGCAGACAGCAATCGTCGTTTGCTAACTCCACGGAAACGTGACACAAAATCGTAGTTTTGGACCATCAGCCTATCGGGCTCTTGTTGTTGGATAAATTCATTCATTCTGCTGGACTAACGCATTGGGTTTGGTGGGATGGGAGCCCACAATTTCGACGCAGCTCTGCTGGCTGAATGCCCCAACACGGCCATTATGAACCCTCTGCGAGCGAAGCAAAACAACTCGGCCACCTAACGAATAAAAAAACGAAATGAGACCGCGTTATTACATTGCACAAACGTTGAATGCCCTTTCGCGGAACTTTCGTCTTTCAACTCCAAAGAGAGGCGTTTCCAACCACAAAACGGTCGATATCAGTTTCTTAAACATGACCCTTTACCAACAAGCACTGACCAGCGCGGTGAAGTATGTTGATAGCAATAATTGCCCCCCTCCCCCCCCCCACCACTACCACCCCCCCCCCCCCTTCCGTCGCCTGCTCGCTGTGCGGCTGAACCAGTCTGGGCAGCAGTGGCAGCAGCAGCAGCAGCGAGAATCTCCCCAGGGCTTCAATTATTCACACGAGTTTGGCGTACGACGTGGCGGCACTATCACAGGCAGCAAATCATTTGATTAATTGCCCGCGGTCTGAGATGTGTAAGTGGCAGCGTGGCCCGGAGGCGAGGGGTTGGTGGGCCACTGGGTGATGGGGCCAGCCAGGGAGCGATTTCGAGAGAGTGCACGTAACACTGTTTGAAAAACTAAACTGATTGTTTACTCTACGAGGCGAGGCACGCTGAGCTATATGGCTCTTTTTCAGAAGCGACCTGACCACAAATATTAGCTCAACGAAGTGGCTTATCATCATGCGGAAATTTGGAGCAGCCCAATACTCCAAACGCATAATGCTGATTATAAATGTGGAGGGGAAAGCCGGAGGGACCTGGAGAAAAATCCACGCGATCACGGCGAGAACGTGCAAACTCCAAATATACAGCAGGCGAACAGGGTCGGGATCGAACCCACGACCTCCTGTATACCAGGCAAGGTAGTTAACATCTCCAAGCCACCGTGATGTTGATGATGAGAGAGAGAGAAACACACAAACTCCAAATATACAGCAGCAGGCGACAGGGTCGGGATCGAACCCACATCCTCCTGTATACCAGGCGAGGTAGTTAACATCTCATAGCCGCCGTGATGATGATGAGAGAGAGAGAGACACGCAAACTCCAAATATACAGCAGGCGACAGGGTCGGGATCGAACCCACGTCCTCCTGTATACCAGGCGAAGTAGTTAACATCTCCTCGCCACTGGGTGGAGTTGTGTGCGGCACAATGAAGGTTCAGGGACACACAATGCCTCGCGTGTACACACGTGCGTGCAGGCTTGTAAAGATTTATACCACGGAAGCACACACGTACTGTACATACGCATGCGCGCGCACGCAAATGTACAAGCACATACAGCAACACACGTGTATCACTTATGCGTACGAAGGCAACCCCTCCTCTCCCCCCGCATAGCCTTAATAGACTTTTGGGGCAAGTGCTGTTAGCGAGTAGCATCTATGAAGGCGGGCACGGCACATGATGGGGTGGGTGGCCAGCACCACGTCCGGCCTCCTTTGTGTCCCTCGTGGCCTTGTTGACACACTGCGCCAGGTACTCATTTGATGCCGAGTCGACCTAGGGGATGCCCAGGACCGGTTCAGGTAATCGTCACTGGTGGTGGTTGTGAGCGTGAAACTCATGCATATGTACACAGTTTCAAACCCACACATGCACTGACTGTGCCACATGGAAACACACATACACAGGTACACGGGTGCACGTGTACAAATCACACTGCCACACCCACATACATACGAAGATATATACAGCTACGCAAAGAAACGACATTGCATTTAACAAGCTGTTGGGGCAAGTGCTGTTAAGCGAGCACCTGCGAAGATCGTAATGGTAAACGGTGGGTGACCAGCATCATGCTCAGCTGCCTTTGTCTCCCCATTGCCGATGTTTACGAATTGCACCAAGGACTCATTCAAGTGCAGATATCCGCCACTGGTGTTGGCTGTGAGCAGGAATCGTTCTCCACACACACCCTTATACTCACACCACACACACCCCCACAATCACGTCCCACACTCCCCACACACTCCCCACACACAACAACAACCGCCATTCGCCACTAAGTGGCGGTGATGTCACCACGACGCTTGTGCCAGGCGATGTGCACGTTGAGGCCACGTGAAACGTCTGGCAGGAGGTCACAGGGCAGACCCAGGTGCCACGGGTCGACCGACTGAGATGACTTGGCTGATGCACCACCTGTGCCCCCTACTCTGCCAACTTGCTGTGCTTTCGCCACCTGGCGCTCTGCTCGTCGTTGTGAGCGTCGCTCCTCCACCCTCCGTTGTTGTTGGAGGGCAACTACCGCCAACTGCCCAGTAGCGTCATTCACGAGCCTCCTCCAGAGGCCAATCTTGACACCGCTGGTACCAGTCATCGGCAAGTCCACTCAGCTCCACGTCCTCCTGTACCATGTCACTCCATCTCTTCTCCAGCCCGTGCGGTGCCCGTTTAGCCCCCTCTATCCGGCCGAACAAAAGCTGTTTAGGCATGCGGTGGCTGGACATGTAGGCTACAGTGAGGGAAAAAAGTATTTGATCCCCTGCTGATTTTGTACGTTTGCCCACTGACAAAGATATGATCAGTCTATAATATTATTGGTAGGTTTATTTGAACAGTGAGAGACAGAATAACAACAACAAAATCCGGAAAAACACGTGTCAAAAATGTTATAAATTGATTTGCATTTTAATGAGGGAAATAAGTATTTGACCCCACTGCAAAACATGACTTAGTACTTGGTGGCAAAACCCTTGTTGGCAATCAAATAGGTCAGACGTTTCTTGTAGTTGGCCACCAGGTTTGCACACATCTCAGGAGGGATTTTGTCCCACTCCTCTTTGCAGATCTTCTCCAAGTCATTAAGGTTTCAAGGCTGTTTGGCAACTCGAACCTTCAGCTCCCTCCACAGATTTTCTATGGGATTAAGATCTGGAGACTGGCTAGGCCACTCCAGGACCTTAATGTGCTTCTTCTTGAACCACGCCTTTGTTGCCTTGGCCGTATGTTTTGGGTAATTGTAATGCTGGAATACCCATCCACGACCCAATTTCAATGCCCTGGATGAGGGAAGGAGGTTCTCACCCAAGATTTGACGGTACATGGCCCCGTCCATCGTCCCTTTGATGCGGTGAAATTGTCCTGTCCCCTTAGCAGAAAAACACCCCAAAGCATAATGTTTCCACCGCCATGTTTGATGGTGGAGATGGTGTTCTTGGGGTCATAAGCAGCATTCCTCCTCCTCCAAACACGGCGAGTTGAGTTGATGCCAAAAGCTCCATTTTGGTCTCATCTGACCACAACACTTTCACCCAATTGTCCTCTGAATCATTCAGATGTTCATTGGCAAACTTCAGACGGGCATGTATATGTGCTTTCTTGAGCAGGGGGACCTTGCGGGTGCTGCAGGATTTCAGACCTTCACGGCGTAGTGTGTTACCAATTGTTTTCTTGGTGCCTTGAGATCATTCACAAGATCCTCCCGTGTAGTTCTGGGCTGATTCCTCACCGTTCTCATGAACATTGCAACTCCACGAGGTGAGATCTTGCATGGAGCCCCAGGCCAAGGGAGATTGACAGTCCTTTTGTGTTTCTTCCATTTGCGAATAATCGCACCAACTATTGTCACCTTCTCACCAAGCTGCTTGGCGATGGTCTTGTAGCCCATTCCAGCCTTGTGTAGGTCTAGAATCTTGTCCCTGACATCCTTGGAGAGCTCTATGGTCTTGGCCATGGTGGAGGGTTTGGAATCTGATTGATTGATTGCTTCTGTGGACAGGTGTCTTTTATACAGGTAACAAGCTGAGATTAGGAGCACTCCCTTTAAGAGTGTGCTCCTAATCTCAGCTCGTTACCTGTATAAAAGACACCTGGGAGCCAGAAATCTTTTTGATTGAGAGGGGGTCAAATACTTATTTCCCTCATTAAAATGCAAATCAATTTATAACATTTTTGACATTCGTTTTTCTGGATGTTTTTGTTGTTATTCTGTCTCTCACTGTTCAAATAACCTACAATTAAAATTATAGACTGATGATTTATTTGTCAGTGGGCAAACGTACAAAATCAGCAGGGGATGAAATACTTTTTTCCCTCTTCTTTGGTTCTTTCGGTAAAGTCACGTAGAATGAGAATAAAATAATAAATTGATCAAATAAAATAACACAATAATATTCTCACGACGTTTCGGCCACAACACAAGCGGCCTTCATCAGGTGAAGGGGCGAGACTGTCTGGTAGGACAGCGCTGGAGTGAAAGAGCCACGTTCAGATCACGACCTTTAAGCTGTGTGAGAGGAAACAAAGCGCCCTCAAATTTAGCACCACGGATAGCTACGGGCCCCGTTCAGACGGACGAGTTCATCCATGGTCGGAACAGAGGAGGGGGAGAGAGACAGCTTAGAGTCGCAGCATCTCTTCAGAAAGGTGAGAGACTCGATTAGTTGAGCCTTCTTATCCCGGAGTCTGTTGAATGATCTTAAGGATGTGTGGAATCCCTCCCCGTAGAGGCGG